CTTCTATTATCAAAGACTCTCTCAGAGATAAAGTTTGTAAGGTGTCTCACTGGCAAAGTAGTATGAAGGTTGAGTTGTCTTTGAAGGGTCGGCTTCTTTAGAGCAGGGGGAGAGATCACGAGATTGCTTCTTTGTGAATAAGGCCCTACCTATGGATGAATTAGAGACTTTCCCTGTACAATATTTCATTAAGGTTGGTGTACTCATGAGAAGATGGCATCCAGCTGATATTCTTGACAGTGAAGAGTGGGCTATTGTATATAGATATGAGATAATGAGACTAGCACATGAGAATCCATTGGGTGTGAACAAAACATGTAACAAGATAATGAGACATTTGTTTGGCCAAGTTTTATGTGTGATGTGTCTGAATTTTGTAAAACTTGACACATATGACATATGGTTAGGAAACCTAGTGCTCCAGTTCCTGTTGCTCTGCTGAAGCCAATTCCTTCATTTTTGATGAACCATTCATAATTGTTTTTATTGATTGTGTTAGTCCATTACCAAAAACATTGAGAGATAAAATTGAAGCTGTTATGGATTTTTTAACCCCAAAAACTGTGAGATCACTAAAAAGATTTCTTGGCATCACCAGTTATTATTGGAAATTTTATAAGAACTTCTCTGAGATTGTGGTTCCACTCACCAACTTGACTAAGAAGAAACAAAAGTTTGTCTGGAATCTTGAATGTGAAGTGGCATTCAATAAATTGAAGGCCTTGTTACGGAAAGCTCCAGTGTTGAAGGCACTGGATTTTTGTAAGCAGTTCACATTGACCGTTAATGCCAGCGATCTTGGAATGAGAGCCGTTCTGTTGCAAGACATTGATAATGGTATCAAATTCCAGTTTATTATTTCACCAGAAAAGAAAATTAACTGTAACCAGAAGAACTATTCCACCATTGAAAAAGAGTTGTTAGCCTTAATTTTAGCCTTGCAACACTTTAATGTATATGTTCATTCTTCTGTAGAGCTGGTAATTGTGTATACAGACCATAATCTATTTATATTTTTTATTAAAATAAGGAAAAAAAATTAAGACTTTTTAAATTGGAGGTTAGTGTTGTAGGAGTACAACTTGGATATTAAACATATTAAGAGAAAAGATAATGTAGTTGCTGATACTCTATCTTAAGACATGTAAGGGTTCAATGTTATTCTGTTAAATTATACGAACTAAAAATATTTGTAGGAGTGAGTCTGTTACTTGCTTTGTTAAATTGAAGTATTTATACCAAGTCATAATGTTATTATTGTTATCTGTGTGTAATATAAGAAATATGTATGAAGGTGTTAAATGTTGATATTTGACTAGGATATAGAAAATTTGCCATTTTATGCCAAATTTTCTTTGTTAGGAGGATTGGTGTTACGTGTTTTTGGCTTCCTTACGCCCTTCTAACTTAGTAATGTCACATGTATATATGATTTGCTTCCTTACCCCCCCATTTCAACTTAGTGATGCATATTTGTTTGTTTTGTTTTTTACTGTGATTGGCAAATCACCACTTAGTAATAGCTAAGTAAGGTGCATACTGTGCCTATATACATATCTATGGGTTGGAAATTCAAAGTGTGTTGGTTGTGGTAAGAAAATTGTATAAGATGTTGTTTCAGTGTTTGTTTTATATGTAAATTGTGACTAATAAATTTTAATTAGATGTCACCCAATGCCTACATTATTAATACGTACCATTACAAACATCGACAAATACCACATGTAATTAGATGTCACCCAATGCCTACGTTATTAATAAGTACCATTACAAACATCGACAAATACCACATGTAATTAGATGTCACCCAATGCCTACGTTATTAATACGTACCATTACAAACATCGACAAATACCACATGTGACAATAGTAGTATGAATATAGATCATTGTCTGTGTACATTACTCTTTATTTCACATATTTTGTCTCGTTCTTTTAGTAGCTATACTTCTTTGATCTCTCGGAGGTAACACTGCATCTATGGCATCATGTTGGTGCATTAGTATGTGTCCGTCATTTTTACAAGTACTATTAACCCTCTGTAGTTCATCTTTGTACTTATTATTATATGGTAACAGTGTTCATGATACAATAGTTGAAAGAAAACCAGAATGAGCTAATCTGTGGAAATTATCTGGTATACTTTTATTTATTGTTTTCATATCTTTGGTTACAATGCTTTATTAACAATTCAAAGTTAATTTGTCTTTTTAAGAACAGTGTTTGGTTAAAAGTAATTTAATAAAAATACAATTATGGATCTAGAATTAGACCTATTATTAAATGGAAATTATTATTCAATGGAAATTTTCATTTGATACTTGGTCTAGCCAACTCCGGGAAATCCTTCTGTCGCAGATAAGAGAGCAGCTCAGAAAGTTGGAAGTCGTCTTCGAAACCTTTTGAAACTACCAAAAGCCCACAGATGGGTGTGCTATGAATGGTTTTATTCAAATATTGACCAGTAAGTGGATAGAGATTTTATATGAATATTGATCAGTAGTTAATCAGTGTTGACCCAAATATTCAACTGTGAGTAGACAAAGATTTTATTCAAACATTAAAACTGTTTAAGTGGTTAGAAATTTCGTATGAATATTGATTTGTGATTAATTGGTGTTAATCCAAGTATTGATCACAAACTATGCACAGATTTTATTTAAATACTGAGCAGTTGAATAGATAAGAGATTGTATGTAACTATTAAACAGCAGTAAACAATTGTTTAAGTATTCAATAGTGAGAGTCTTTTCTGAGTATTAACCAGAAAAAACAAGTGATTTTATCCAGTTATTGATTATTGTGTGATCAATGTCTGATTCAAAATTGATCAATTAATTGCCACATTTCATCTAAATATTAACCACTTAATGGTCAGAAAGTTTTCTTAATTTATTTCAAGACGAGTAAGTGGTTTTCATCAAAAACCAGTGAATAATCAGAAGTTTAATTTAAGTGTTATCCAGTTAATATTTATTATCTGATCATTTAGTCTGTCTCAATTATACGTGCACTTGCTATATTTTATCCAGAAGGATTGAGAGGTTTAGAGAAAAAACATATCAGTTATATCATTGAAATTTCTTTAATATCTTTGTCAAAAAAAAAATGGTATTTGTGAGAAATAAATTCATCATATTTAGACAGATAACTTCTGGTTACTATTTTGATTTCCTACGTTCCGAGGCCAAATTTGTATTTCTGATCTATCAGCAGCGTTTAAGGCATTCAAAGGAAGTTTCCATTGTTTCTTGGGCAGATTATCTGTTTCATATTTATTTTGAATCTATACCTATATATAAAGACTTTTTTATCACTCGCCATTTTCAAAGTTTCTCCAGGATTTAGTATTTGTGATAGTAGCTAATTTTGTTATTTATAAAATATTTTTGAATGTACTAACAATTTTTGAGATACATCTCAAAAAAATATCTTTTTTGGTTGTAGTATCCATTTGTATAATTGCCAAGTTAAAGCTAGGGTTGTACTAATTAGTTGAGTGTTGTATTTAATATTCATTGAAGATCAGTTAATGTGTTTATAAGTCTTGAGTGAAAATGTGTCAGATTCAGAATTTTTTTTCTTAAGATAAGTTTCTAATTTATTCTTTCTTAATACTAACATCTTTATCAGTAATGTCAAGTTGCTTAATTAATACTTTGAAAATCATGATCCTGGTATGTGATTTAAAAATTTTCTCAAAGTACACATCCTTTTGCTTCTGAACAAACACATTTGGCAGCATAGTTTATCAAGTTGTTTATACTTTCAGGCCACTTTTCTTTGGAGACAATGAATTTTCAGTGTGTCTTACGGAATCTTTTCCTCAGTTAAAGACTAGGAAACTAAGACGGGTAGAGTGGGTCAAGATCCGAAGGATTATGGGAAAGCCTCGAAGGTATATACACTTGATGTTCATAATGGCACTTTATAATGAAGGCCACAAGTTTAGTGAGTACAATTTAGCAAAGAGGAAAAGAATAATTAAGCTTTTCTTTTGTGTTCACTGTTGCAGTTTAACCATTTTCAAGATTTATTAACATAAAAGTCTTTCTACATTGTTGTGGTTAATAACACTTTATGCAGAAGAAGCTTGGTTTATAGATCAATATTTTGTATGGCATTACATCACATTAAGACTAATATTATTTCTTAACAAATAGTTCTTTATCATTATGTGGGTTTCTGCTAAGATAAAAGCTTCTCATCCATATATGCCACTTCCAGTGAGTCCTTTTACTCAACACTAGAACTCATCAGGATAGCTGATCATGCAAAATACAAAGCTGTGTTAGAAAAATGACTTATATCAGTCATTTAGGAAAGGTTAATTACAGTGGGTCCCCATTATACATTGCATCGCTCTTCGTCATTTCATTATTGGAGCATTCACCAATTACAAACAACATTGCCTTGTTTCATTACTCGAGCATTCCAACATCATCAACTACTTTTCCTATGGCTTATTTAACTACAGTGTATGATACAAACATACATGTTAGAACATTAAAGGACTAAACAGTTTAGTGCCAAAGTTAATTGTTTTCCTGGGTTTCATTGGCAAGGTGAACTTTACTATCACTAGGGAGCCATGTTGGAAGGGTGGAAACAAGGCTTTTCTGCAGCAGAAAAAAACAATGTGCTCAGACAACGGCGAGCAAACGTGTTTATATCGTCCACAGTCTTGGGCAGTGGGTGACATATCACACTCCACCCAGTAAACTAGTCTGACAACATTGGCATGCTCTAGTAATGAAACATGGCAACATTGCTTCACACACATATTAGTAGTACAGTACTGTACATTAACTGGTGAACACTATGCCTAGTAAAGTAGTCCAACAATGCTTTAACAATTTAGTAACGAGAAAAGGTGACATTGTTTCAAAAATATTGGTAGTAATTGGTAAACATTATACCCTTACACCCTTTAAAAAGTTCTTCAAGAATGGACCAAAGTTTTTCAGAAATGCATCCGCCCATAATACATGTAAAGATTGTGTTGCTTAACATAGTTTCAGACATACGTTCCACTTTCCAAGAATGCATCATGACATAACATGGACCCTCTGTATTACAGTATATAGCAGTTCTTGCGCTATGGCTCAAAATAGTGGAATGAGGTTAGACCACTATTCCATTTATAGCATCAATTTTTCAGCCTGGCATTGCTGTATACCTTTGGTAATATGCAATATTACTCCCTTTATGTTGCAAATAAGGCTTCAACTGAGTGAGTAGGTCAGTAGCAAAATACATGAAGCCGATGCCAAACAAAATTGAGGTTTAATGTCGTGCATTACACCAGTATCTATATTTTGTAGTCAGGATGCTATTGTATTATTATTAAGAACCTGTATAGTTGTATTAAAGAAAGCTTTACTTAACATTATTATCACTGTTATTGTGATGTATTGTCACACAAAACATACATTTATAGATCACATTGGGTTTTAATTTAAAACATTTGGGGGAGGGGGGCTGTTTTAGTTGTTTTATTCAAATCATGCTTCTCTAGTATAACCTGTTATACACCATAATGGCTGATATTTTATTAATAACTGATATAAAGAGCATTTTTACCAAGGTTTTGTGTGTTGCATGCACAGCATACCTGATGAGCTCTGTTATTGAGAGAAATTCCTACCTTGTCAGCCATGGTATGTGTAGCACCTAAATTGTATTAAAGATGCTTATATGCTCTTACTAGAAATCCATATATGACTTGTAGAGTAAGGCTATAATGTCTCATAATAAGATATCTTTTTACATTCTCTTACAGATTTTGGTGTTGCAGCTTTCTAAATTAAAAACTGGGGGTTGTTTTTTTCTTGCTTTATTTGTATCTTTTACCATTTAATTTGTATCTTTTACCATTTACTTAAAATTTAAAAAAATCTCATATTAATTTTTACTTCAGCATAGAGAGTAATTTTATGCTAGCTGAAGTTTATGCTGTTTAACAGATGTATTGTAATTTACCAAATGATGGACATGTTCAACTGGTCAATGGGAATATTAAAATACATCTTTCCTTAATTCAGGGCTCTTAGTGTAAGACTACAGTACCTTCAAGACTTTGGAAAGGATTTAAATGAACATAACGTTTTTGTTGTCTTTTTCCACGAAATTACCTTCCTTTTCCAAAACTTCTTTGGAAATTAACTGAATTATATTTTTTTTAGATTGTTTTAAAAGGATTCAGTTGGACATGGTTTAACTATAAGAAATTCATAGAAAAATCTAAGTATTGGAACTATATAATTTAAAATAAACTCAGTTTTACTTTATGAACCTTTGATTACTAAGTGCCAAAGAATGTATAACCTTACATTAATCAGCAGTCAAATATCATATTTATAATACTGAAGTTGATATGTAGTTAGTTCTTATGACTTTATTTCATTTAGCATTGAAGAAGGTAATTTTTCTGTATACATTTGTTCTGATATGCTTATTTTGTATATTTTATGGCCCAGGTGTTCATCAGCATTTTTTACAGAAGAAAGGGAAGCTCTTTACTCAAAAAGAAACAAGATACGTCAGCTGCAACAAAGAAAAGTGGCAGACCTCACTAATTATCGTGATCTTCCTGATGAAATCCCTCTTCCTTTGGTGATTGGGACAAAAGTCACTGGTATTTAAAAAATTAAAATGAAGTTGATGTTTAATTGTTTTTTTTTGCTTCAGTGACATTAAGTTATTATCACTGGGCAAGCAAATATGAACAGTAATACTGTGTACCTACATTTTCTGTAGGTGCTGTAATACGATAATAAGCAATGCCATTCATAAAAGATAATGGGGATGTGGGCTGCCCATTCCACTGTTTTGACCAATAGCACATAAACCATTTCTAATGAAAGGGTACCACCTTCACGTGGCATTAAACATATATTTATTTTTGCCATTAACCTTATAACAACAGTGCCATTTTTTAAAAAAATTCTGCACGTGTTACTGAGTTACATTCAAAATTGAATTAAACCATTTTATTATCAATGTATTTTAATGATATTATTTTTGTCAAGTACATTATAATTCAAAGATTTATGTTATCTAAGTTTTATTCCTTTATTTCAAAAGAAATCTCTAAAACAATAATTAAAACTGCAGATTTTTTTTGTGCATGCAATCATAGTTACAATTATCAACTTTAAGATCTAGTATAAAAGAAACTGTATGTGTAATTTAGACATTCAAAGTACATCCTATACAGGGTATAGGTATACAGTAAATCGAGTACATTCCAAGAACTTTTGTTCCAAAGCAAATTGATGTAAAAATTCCTTAGTTCAAGATAAGCTATACACTTGTAAAGTAGAAGCTGTATTACTAAGCAACAGTTTTCAATTGGTTGGCATGTGTATAACCAATAGAAAGAGCAGGTTTTGCAGAATCTTTCCTGTGAAGTATCTTCTACCTACCTCAATGTTAATGTTGGCTATTTAGGCATACAATTCCTAAGTATATTGTTGGACATCGTTGTCCCTAGTGTTTGGCTATTTTTCTTGCCTTGTACATATTAGTTTAATAGACAGTTAAATTGCATTTAGGATTTACTTTATATTTTAGTTAATTATGTATTATTTGTGTTTCAAAATTCTAATTCGAAAGGATTAATGATTTTTTAAATTTATTCTGTGCTCAACCAGCTTTTATAAAGTTAGTGACTGTAACCACCATTTTGTCAGAGGCTAAACTGTCTCTACCAATGTTAACATTATATGCCTGTGGGCACCTGTTGGTGTATGGACATAAATGATCAAAGATAAAAAAAAATGAAAGGAAAATAAAACATTAAAAATAAATTGTAAGTGAAATGTAAAGATGTGAAATTATGCACATGACCCAAAGAAGATATTTTTAAGATTATTCAATGAAGATATAAAAGGCATGTACATATTTCAATAGGCCCAGCATGGCCCAGTGGTTGGGCCACTCGACTCGCAATCTGAGGGTTGCAGGTTCGATTCCCTGTGACACCAAACATGCTCTTCATTTCAGCCGTGATGGCATTGTAATGTGATGGTCAATCCCACTATTCATTGGTAAAAGAATAGCTCAAGAGTTGGTGGTGGGTGGTGATGACTAGCTGCCTTCCCTCTTGTCTTACACTGCTAAATTAGGGATGGCTAGTGCAGATAGCCCACGTGTAGCTTTCCACAAAATTCAAAAACAAACAAACATTTTTTCATTTTTAACATTTCATTGCACTGTATAGTGATGTTGTAGAGAAAGTAGCAAATAAAATATAAACATTTACCTTAAAAAACAGTTGATATTAATTTAGGAGGTTCTAGAGATTACGCAAGTTAAAGGTAAAAATTGTATTTTTATACTTATTGTGAAAATCACCTTGCAGGTGAACTATTCAGAGGCCAACTACAAATAACTACATTAAATAATGAATTTTTGGTTGAAATAATACAAAAAATCAAAATTAAATATTATACATACTTTTATGAAAGTTCTTGTCAAGTTTTAAACAATTTTATCCACTGGTTTTATTATTAGAAAGAAATTTAATGAGTTAGGTAATGTGTACAAGTCTAAAGTATGTCGTCATTATTGAGTCAACTTGTATTTTATTAAAAAACTACTCAGTGGTAAATAAATTAGAGAAGAGAGGATTCCTAAAGAGTAAATGTCACAATTCTCCTATGAGGGGAATTTGAGGATTTTTTTAAATATTGCCTTGTAAGATTAAGAACTAAAAACTTATATAACATTTAAATTTGGGTTATTAGCTATGTTTTGATTCTAATTTTATTTGTATACCATGATAATAAAGTACTTTAATTAAATTTTGAATGTAACTGAGTAAAACCTTGTGATGTGCAGAAAAAGATTCTTGTAAGGAAAGAGTTAAACATGACCAAAAATAAACATAGTATTTGTCCATTTAGAAACTTCAGTGCTCGATAATTACATTCAAGGAGCAATCTAATATAAACATTAACAAACAACTAGAAAGATTTATGTTTTCAACAAAATGTATTAACTCTGATTGTTCTTATTACTCAAGCTCGACTCCATAATCCATGTGATGGGCTTTTCATGGGAAGTATTGATGCTGTTGACACCACAAATGCCACTTATAGAATCACATTTGAGCGATCAGGATTGGGGTCACATTCCATACCTGATTATGAAGTTCTGGTCAGTTATTCATTTTCATCTCACAAAGTTTTATATTTTTATTGTTTAATTTTTGATATTTATCAGTGAAGGAAAACCATAAAAACAAAAGAGTAATGTGACAAAGAAATAAATGTTTTTACTTTCTTTATGAAAAAGTTTAAATTTATACAAAACATCTGAATTTTTTTAATAAGTAAAAATAAAATAGCCATTGTGCACAAATCTTTATTTAAGAAATACAAAATTAAGATCAATTTACATAAGATTTCATATATTAGAATTTTATACATATCTTACAGAGCACAGAACCACAGGAAACAATGCCAATAACTGCTTTTGCCCAGAAACAAAGGCCACGGAATATGTTCTACACCCCTCCAAGATACATTCCCGAACCTTCCTCTCCACAGTTGGTAAGATTAATGTTCTCAAGTATTAAAATAGTTTGATGTTGGGAATGCAGAAAATGTTGTATATGAGAATAAATTTTGATATGAACATATCTGACATCGTCAAATGAGAATAAATTTTGAATACAATGTAAATCAATATATGAGATTTAAATTGTTATAAACATGCATATGTATTTAAGCTGTAATTAATTTAATGCTTAGTTTAACTAGTAGTAGTAGTAATGTATATATATACAAGTTAAAATGTAATAATTTAGGTACAGGTTATTATTAATGAATGCTTTAAAAGACTTGTTCATTGTCTTCAAATTATGAATGAAAATTAAAACTAAAAAGCCTCAATAAATCTGATAATTACTTTGGTTAATTGTGTTTTCAGTTTGTTACGTAGTTTATTTGTATTTTGTGCTCGTTATAGTTTTCATACTATAACTTTTAAATCGGTAAGTGATTGTTAACAAAATTTGGCAGTTTATCAGTAAACATTACAATACTTTCATATGCAAAATATCTAATTTGTTTCTTAAGTTTTAAGGTTTGTAAAGCAATGTTTCTCTCATACCTTTTTTTCTTTTCACATCTTGCCTATTTATCGGGCAAAGTAA